AATCCGCTAGCTTGATTTCTTTATGTGCCAGAGGGTCACTGTACTGGGATGTGCCCCAGAAAATAAAGAACCAGCTCCCGATTCTTCAGATTATTCCCCAGTTCATAGGAAAGTTTCTAAGATTCCTTAACCAAGTTCATTCCAGACTGGGAAAATGAAATAAGGGTGTTTGATCTCCTCTCTCATCTCTTAAGTCATGCCGTTTACCTTTTCTAGTCTAGGATTTATTTTAAGGCCAGTCCTCTACACTTTGGTTCTATGTACATTAAGAATATTAACCTGTAATTTTATTTTCCTTTGGTGTCCTTGTCTGGTGTTAGTGTAATGCTGGCCTTGTAAAATGTGTTTGGTAGTGTTCCTTCTTATTTAGTTTTTTGGAAGAGTTTGAAAAGGAGAGGTATTAAATCTTTGACTATTTGGAAGAATTCACCCATGAAGCTGTCTGGTCCTGGAATTTCATTTTTGCAAGGTTTTTGATTAATGATTCAATCTCCTTAGTAGTGATTGGTCTGTTCAGGTTTTGTGTTTCTTCAATGTCCAATCTTAGAAGAGTACATGTTTCTAAGAATTTACCCATTTATTCTAGGCTGTCCAATTTGTTGGTATATAATTGTTTGCAGTATTCTCTTATGATCCTTTGTATTTTGTGGTACCAGTTGTAATATCTTCTCTTTCATTTGTAACTTTATTTTTTGAGCACTCCCTCTTTTTCTCTTGGTTAGTCTAGCTAAAGGTTTGTCTATTTTGTTCATCTTTTCAAAGAACTAGCTTTTCTCATTGATCTTTTCTTATTGTCTTTTTGGCCTCTGTTTTATTTATTTCTGCTTTGATCTTTATTCTTTCTTTCCTTCCATTAACCTTCGGCTCCATTTATTTGAGATTTGTCTTGTTTCTTGAGGTAGGCCTTTGAAACACAATAAGTTGTTGTATATAGGTCTTGGGTCCTACAATGTTGCAAAACCAACATGTGAGTTCTAGTAGGTTTTCTGTAGACTCCATAGCATTAACCTAAATTATGTGGCTTTGGTTTAACTGGCAGGCAGCAAACAGCAAGGACACAGATACTAAAGGCTGGGAAGCTGGTGATCCTTTTTATGCCACCACAAGACATTTGATAAAATTGTCAACTTAGTTCCTTGGAAGGCAAACCACATGTTCTTTGAATCTGTGGCTATAGGAAAATGATCGGAAAGATGATTCTCTGGCCAATCTGGGAGCATTAGCTGTTTCCTGCCTCCCTTAGCAAAGTCCTTTGAGAAATATGAACTCAGGTAAAAGCTAGCCATTTTGTTAACGGAGATGGAAGAAAATAAAGCTCTGCTAAGATTGAAGTCTCTGCCTGCAGTCCATAATACAAATTGACTAAGAGTGGTTATTTAGGGCCTTCTAGTTTTGATAAAGCCAGAAGCTATTATATTCCCCAAAGTAGAAGGTAAAACTGTGACCCAAAGCCCTTCTCAAGGGCCACAGCAAAGTGTTGCCTGCAGATGACATGCAGTAAGGATCATATTAAGGGGACTGCCTTCCCAACCAACCCTGCTGTTTTTTTCTGGCTGCAAGGACGCTGCCATTAAGTTAATAGATGCCAGATATATAGGACAAACACAGAGCCTAGTAAATAAAAATAATGAAGAGTTGTTAGGCATGAGAACCATGACTAGTGGAGATCTTTAACTCTGATTATTTGTACAAGGAATTGTAAAAAGAACAAACAGACCAGAAATCAATTCAGTATCTTTCCAAATTGAATCAACAAAGAAGCTATAAGCCTAGCCTGCAAATGCCTGTGTCTGTCTAAAGAACCTTCAGTCACTCAAAACTACACCAGTAAGAAACTGGGCACAAAGAGATGTACAGCCTCTCAGGAGGGCATACTCTTCAATATACCCTTCTGATGGGATCATAGGAGATCGTGGCTAAGAACCTCCCAGTGGGTAAAACCAGTACTTTCAGATGCAGCCGACAAGGGAGTTCCTTAGAGAGAGCAGAACTGGGGGCCTAAGAATTTACTCTACCACCTGGGCATTTTTTGAAAGTTCCTTTTGCAACATTTGGTTAGACCAGGGATGTCAAACTCATTTTCACCAGCGGCCACATCAGCCTGCAGTTGCTGGTGTGTTCAAAGGGCTGGATATACTTTTAGGACTATATGAGTATAACTAGTCCTTAACAGTTAAGTGGGAGCTCAGCACTGCTGCCGCTGGAAACAAGGTACCGGGCCAGATAAAACAAGGTGGAAGGCTGGATTTGGCCCATGAGCCTAGTGTTTGCATCTGTGGGTTGGACTGTGTACCAGTGACTATTGTTTTCCTGTTTTTTTCCAAATTAGTTTTCATATTCATATGTCACCATTGTACACTTGGTGTGTGGGAAAGGGGAACATATACCTCAGCTTTTAGTTTATAGAGGTCACCGGATCATGCAGAGTTATGTCCAGACTTGCACAGGACTACCTGTCCTCTTCAGATCATGCACTTTGAACTGCTTGAAACTGGCTTTTCTCCCTTTGGAATAGGGTGTGTCCTGTATATCAGGTCATATATGGATGTTTGGTGGCCAGAAGAATGACCTGTGACAGAGGCTCTCACCTTCTTCCTTTACTATTAGAACTGCCAAGTATTAGCTGGATCTGTGGTTGCTTAGCTAGAGAACTTGGCTTCTCATCTTCCTTTCCAACAGTAAGATCATGTCTCTAATCAGGTCAATGGAGTGAGTAGAAATGATGCTATCTCTGAGGTGACTCTTAGGGGCACCAAGACGTGCACCCCTTTCCTGCCTTTTTCTGAGCAAGGATACAGAGGTGATGGCAAGTTCTGGCAAGGAGGTCATATCCGAGGACAGCAGTGCTGCACTACCCGTCCTGGACCACCTACCTTTGGGCCAGTATGTGAAACAAAAAAACCCAAACCATCCTGTTTCAGATATAGTACCTTTGTTAAAGCCACCTAATCTGCACCTGAACTACTACCTAGGCTTTATTTTGGGCTAGAGTATTACGTTTTCTTGTTTCAAAGGGGTGAGGTAGAGCCTTGAACAAATGAAAAGAAACTTTTGCTAATCTAAGTTAGGATTCTGGCCCAATTAAATCAAATACGTAACCACTGAGTACTTAATGTGAGCCAACCCAGTGTGAGGTACTATGGAAGAAAAGACACGGCCTGCTCAGTGCTGAACTACCTCTTTCCGGGATTGTTACATAAGAGAGAAATACACTTCGATTTTGTTTAAAGCGCTGTACTTTGGGTCTTTGTTATACCAAAGACAGTGCTTGGTCTGCTTCCTAAATAACATACATTGTTGGAATTTGTTGGAAAACTACACCATGATCACAAAAATGAAAAATCAAAGCAGCATATGCCCAGCGGGGAAACAGAAGGCCCTCTCGTCGTGAACAAAGCTCAGAGGGACTAGAAGAGTGGGGCGGAAAGAAGTTCTAGCGGTGAAAATGGTATCACTGAAGGCAGAAATATTTAACTTTCCCCTCCAAAAGTAAACAAAACTCAATGTAACTTTTCTTACAACTATTCTGGTAAGTGCAAAAACTATTGTTTTATGAAAAAAACCTGTGAAATAAATGAAGGTAGTTTGCTTGAAAATGTTTATTTTTGGGTCACAATAAAAGTAACAGCCATTGGAATGCTTGAGAACACGATGGCTATGTAGAACATTTGACAACAGAGGTTTACAGAAAGTGAAAATCAGCAGACCATGATCCTGAACAACAACAACAAAAGTAAAACATTGTTTTACTTTTTCTAATCTTTCTTCAGTGGGTGTGCAATGGAGGCATATGCATTTTTTATATACATACTACATGGCACAGACGTACAACCTGAGTTCTGCCGTGCTTTCTCACTTAACACTGTATAAGTACTTCCTGACATGGAAAATTCTTTAGTTTTTAGTTGCTAAGTATTTCTAACATATTTAATTTCATACAACCAATCATTAAACCAGAAAAAGCAAATTGATATGTATGAGAAGGCAGTTATTAAAAAAATCAACTGACAGAGTTTATTCTTTAACAAAGGAATGCTCTTACTTTTTCAAATGCCTAGCAGTAACCAGGCCTTCACAAGCCTAGAAGGGACACCTTAGAGAGTGTTTTCAGTAAAGGCCTGTAGAACCTATTTTGTATAATCTCATAGTAAAAGCAAATAAATCAAATGTAAAATGGAGGCAAAATTGCCCAAAGGAAATGTAAGTTACAAAATAAACACTTTTAAGTTTAATGCCACAAGTCTGGCTATGCTTTACATTATAGTAGGGCTAATCCTTCTGTCCCTCTTATATTACAGCCCAGACCACACTAAAACCAAGAGGTAAATAAACCCATTGGGTGGGGGAAGGGGTTGGGTCAAAGCCTTCTCATTACTGTGGGTGCTAACCTGAAGTTCCTTCCCTCCGTAGTTCTGCCCATTTGGGCAGAACATTGGTGTAAAACCAAAATTTCACACATGGAACACCAAAGCCACCCACCTGGCTGCATCCGCCATATTTTTGGGTTGAAATTTTGTCGCAGAACAAATGTTATCTTCCATGATTTGAGAAATAAGAATGGTCCTACAGCGCCATCACATTCACCTGATGTTAGTGGTGGATTTGTGCCTTGCTCCTCTATCCGCCTTCTTGTAAAATGGGTTCGGTATACTATTACTTATACAGTGTGTGTGTACACACATACACACATTATATTGCGTGATCTTACCCATTTTTGAAAACTGGGCTTAGTTTTCATTTTGGATACATCTTTTCGGCAATTAATCATAATGGCTGCAGTGGAAATATAGATCCTAGTTAGCTGTCTGTAAGGTAGGCTGTTTTGTATCTTTCTGGGAATACCAAATAATTGCTAAGGAGGTTGTGAAATGAGAATGGACCTAAAAATCAAAAGCTAGGCTTTTTTTTTTTTGGCCCCTGACGCTTTACGTACTTCGTAACGCCATTAATACACTGTTCTCAGCTTGGGAACTTAGCACTCTATCCGAGCCGGTAAAAGTCCCTGGTATCTCCCAGGATCAGGCAACCCTCAGGGAGAGGACACGCCCTCAGGTACTGCGCGTGTGGCTTGCGCCTTAGGTAACCTCGATTCCCGGGCGGCCGCGGCTCAGTTCAACGGTGTCCCCGCTGGGTGCCGGCAGTCCAGTGCTCGCAGATCCCGCAGCTGCGGATCGGCTCTCGACCGCACGGTCCCGCTGGAGACCCCTTGGCCAGCCCATGCTCTCAGCCACCAGAAGGGCTCGCCAGCTCTTCCACATCCTTTCTCCTGTCCCGAGAATGGGGGACTCCGCTTCTAAAATCGTCAGCCCCGAAGACGCCCTGCCGGGCCGGAAGGACCGGATCCCTGTAGCTGGTAAGGGCAAGTTCAAAGGGCGCCGAAGTCACTGCTGCGCATGCGTGCCAGGGCCCAACGGCGGCCCGCCCGCACAGAGAAAAGCCAGGGACTGGCCTCCCCGAGATTTGGGCTGGTGTGTGCGCAGGCGCTGTGAGAAGCGCCGGTGACGGGGGTGGCGAGAGGTGTCCTTGTTTCCAGAAAACCACGAAACGCTTTGACTGAATGTAGTGTGTTCTTGTAACACCCAGAGTGCGAATTTCCCAGCGGCTCCAAATTGTGGGCAGGAAAAGCGCTGATCAGGTTTCTGCCTTTCGAGCGCGTGCGCCCTCAGTGTGGGGGTTTGCTGCGGCCTCTCTCGTTAGCTCCGGCCACCGGGTCCCGGCCACTTGCGGCGATGGTGCGGTGTTGTGTGGTTCCTGGAAGCAATGTAAAGATACAGAGTGATGAAAACTGCAGTTTTCAAATTGTATCTCAGTCCGGTGTTCATTGAAGGCATTATCCGTAGGCTTCCATTATATTCCAGGACTTCTCGGTTTCCCCCAGTTAGTAGGAGCTGCCACTGGCCCAGTGATCCCAGGTCTGCCCTGGAGTGTCAGTCCTGCGGAGGTGTGTATTTTAAAGCTGGGTTTCCCAAACTGTAAAATAATTTTGCAATCTCATACCAGTACTTTTGGAAAATACACTAAAGGTGAAATGCTAGAAAAGTGATTACTTGTTTGGATGCCAAGTAATGTTAAACTACCCAAACTTTTCAGAAGCTTAACTTTCCATTTCTGTCGTAGACCTCTTGCAGTTTGCAGACAGCACAGGTCCACCAAACCCAGGACCGTAGTTACCTTGGCACGGTGTTTCTCAAAGTGTGTCCATCAGTTTTTTTTTAAGCCCTTCAGGCGATTTTAATGCATTCGTTGTTTATAAACCACTGTTTTAGAGCTTGGAGAATTAAGTGATGATTAATGTTTTACAAACAGTTGCCAAGATCCTGCATTTGAAAATTTCCAGGAATTCTTATATTTTTCTTTTCCTTGAAGAATTGTTGAGTATTTCTAGGAGGAGGTCATAGTGAGGGTCTGCATTATCATATACACTACTCAGATGAGACTGAGGTTTTTGGATTTGATGCAGTTTGGAAAGTGATTGTGTGACCTGTTTTTTATTCACCTGCATTAGCAGTTCTGTTTCCTGGGCCTGTGATTTCTTCACCTCATTGCTAGCCCTAAAACTTTATTTTATTTTTAACTCAGATAAGAGAATGAGTTTTGAAAAGAAGAATCCAGATTAAGTATCTCTATACTATTTAACTTAATTATTTAAACTTTATTTATCTTAAAAGTAAATTCTCTTTACAAAGCAGGATACATAAATGTATATTAATGGCAATGCTTTCTCAATGCTGAACTTCCCCAGCTTGTACTGAACTTCCTTTTTACATACTACAATCTTTGATATGCCTTGTTGGACAAATAACCCAAAAACTCTTCATCAGATTTTCAAACTGGGTCAAGATCAAGACTGACCAAAATTTAGTTGTGTTTTAACCAAAGTCTTCCTATATAGATGACACTTTTGGTAAACGATAGACTAACATGACAGAAACCAAACAAAAATTTATTTTTCGTATCCACTTAATAACTGCAGGATCTCAGGACCTGGTTCTATTCCAGGCTCTTCTCTCTTTTCATATAGCCATGTGTATATTGCTCTGTATCTGAACCCGTAAGCTGCTTTTTTTTGGTGTAGGGCCAAACCTACAATGCATATGTCCTTATTCCGCGGCTGTTGTAACTGCCTCCCTGCCACTGGTATTCAAGTTTTAGATGGTGGTCTATCTAGTCTCCACTCCTGCTACTACTCTTGCCTTGGTGAGTTGCCGAAAGTTCTAATTGGCCCCAGAAATGGGCAGTGTTACCTCTTTGGCTGGTTTTGGTGGTTGTAAGATCAGAGCTTCTGAATTTATTATTGTTTTGAAAGTCATTTTAATCTTTTTTTCAGCCTCCAATCTGTTTAACAGCTATTCACTTCTCTGTATTTCCTCTACATCTGTTATTTGCACTCTGACTCTCTGAAAAGTTCTGTGACAAAAGCGTCACCTTTTGGTTTTAGAAGACAAGGCCTATTTTCTAAACCCACATCTTTTGTGTCTTTGGCTCAGCCTACTATGAGGTGTCCACTATTAGCAAATACTTTTGATGCGAAGAGTTATCATCGAAGCTTGAATCCTACCTTTTTTGGTATGCTTAAGAAAACTTACAGCCTTTTATAAACTGTGGCCTGCTGGAGTAGAAAACACTCCTGAAAGATGCAAAAAAGCCTCGAACAAATGGCAGGTTATACCAGGTTCTTGGATAGAAGACTGAAGAGGAAACATGCATATCAGTTTTCCCTAAATGTATTTATAAAGTTAATATGGTTTCAGCAAAAATACTAATGATATTTTATTTTATTTTTTAAAGATTTCATTTATTTAATTTTAGAAAGGGAAGGGATGGAGAAAGAGAGGGAGAAGAACACTGGTGTGTGGTTGTCTCCTACTTATCCCCAATGGGGACCTGGCCTGCAACCTTGCCAGGCATGTGCCATGTCTGGCAATCGAACCGGTGACCCTTTGGTTCACAGGTTGGCATTCAATCCACTGAACACACCAGCCAGGGGGAAATAACTACTGCTATTTTAATTTTGTTCTTAAGGTGGACATACTAATTTAAAATTCATATGGAAAAATAAACAGGAATAGTCATGGTAACTGTAAAAGGAGAGCAAAGGGCTATCTCGCCCTACCAAAGAGTGTGGTAGTAGTCCATGAATGGATAGGTCAGTGGAACAGAATAGAAAGATCAGAAACCCTTAAATACATATGGGAATGTAGCATATGATAAAGGTGATGTCTTAAATCAGTGAGGAAAAATGGAATATTCACTAAATGGGTATGGGACAACTAGGTAGCCATATGGGGGAAAAGTTGGATTTTTTACTTTCCATCTTAAAATAAGTCCTGAAAAAATACATGGTGATAATAGTTCATGCTTATTAAGTGCTTACTATACCAGGCACTGTAGTAATTAGTTTATACAAGTTACTGATATATTTAATCTTCATAATAACCTGACAAAGTAGTAATTATTATTATTCCTCATTTGTAGATGTGGACACTGAGGACCATAGAGGTTAGGTGACTTATCCAAGGTCATATAGCTAATAAGTGATAGACTTAGGACATGAATTTAGGCAGTTTGTCTCTAGGATTTGTGATGTTAACTACCATACCATTTTTTCCCATTTAGTTAGATGTAAAAAATGAAACAATTTAAGTATGGGGAAGGGAACGTTCCTTTATAATCTTGGTGAGAGGAGAAAGTCTTTCTAACCATGACTTGAAGATTAGAAGACTTAAAAGATTGATATATTAGATCATATTGAAATAAGAATTTTCTACAGGCAAAATTACCTTAAGCAAATTCAAAAGACAAACTGGGGTATATATTTACAACTTGTATCTTATATGAAGACTGGTCTCCCTAACACATAAGAAGCTCTTAGATGTTGATAAGAAAACAACTGACATCCATTAGAAAAATAGACAAAGGTGATGAACAGACAGTTTCCAGAAAGGGAAGTACAGCTGGCTCTTAAACGTATAAAAAGGTACTTGACTTCGCTATGAGGAGAATGGAAATACCATTTTTCATTTTTCAGGCTGGCAAAAATCCAGAACTCTGATGATACCCTGTGTTGCCCTAAAAGAAAGAGATACTCTTGTACAATACTGGCGAGAGTGTAAAACTGGTTCAACTCTTGGGGAAGACAATTTGGCAATATCTATCAAAAATTTAATTGCATGTACCTTTTGACCCAGGAATGCAATTTCTGGGAATTTATCCTACAGATCCACTTGCACACGTGCCAAATGATGACTGTACCAAGTTATTCACTGCAGCTTTGTTTGCAATAGCCAAAGACTGGAAACAGTCCAAATGCCCATCAGTAGGGGCTAGTTAAATAAACCATGTTTTGTCCACACAATGGAATATGCAGCTGTAAGAAAGAACATGGAAAATCTATATGAATGGGTATGGAGAGACTGCCAAGATACAGTGTTAAGTGAAAAAAGCAAGGCCAGCAAAGTGTTATATAGCATGCTAGTTTTTGTGTGAACAGAGAGAAAAATGATAATATATATGCACAAAGAAACTTTGAAAGGGTGACTAAGAAACTAATAGCTGTAGAGGGATCTATACAGCCAGCTGAGGGTGGATGGGAGACTTTTTACTCCTTTTTAAAAATAACTTTTGATTCTTGTAATGTGACTGCTTTATTGAATTAAATAACTCCACTTTGGAGATGATCTCTCTCTGTTGTTTTTAGTCAAATTGACCAACCTTTGATCATCTTTTGTCAGCCTTACTCCAAGTTCTTTTTTTTTTAAATGTTGCTCTTTTACTTGTCAAGTGGGTTTTTTTCTTCCTCAATTTGCTTTTGTAATCAAAATCTACATTTTGGCATGATTTAAAAATCTAAATTTAGAGGGTGAAATTGGAATAAGTTAATCCAAGTCATTTTACATTTCATAAATATTCATTTTTATTGAAGCAGCAATTGTGGTGGCATCATTTATACAAAGAAAAGATCTTTGGGGACAAATTCCTTCCACTATTATGTAGAAGGCATTATGTGTATTTCTTTTATTTTCAGTGATGTACATAGACTTTTAAAAGAAAATGATAGAAAACAATTTTCCTTTCTGAAAAGTGTTCCCTAGTGTGTGATTAATTTTTAAGTTGTAGGACACAGAACTGTTATTTCTTCTCCCTGCATCCTATCTAAAGCTCTTTATTTTGCCCTGTGTTTCAGAACCCTCAGAGTTTCCCCCAAGTCACTGGAGTAAGGGCATTTCTTACCTCCCATGATCTAATCCTTACTTTCCAGCCTGTCTTCCCCCTGTGCCCCTGCAGAACCTCATCTTTAGGCTGAAATTGGTTTCAGTATTTTGCTTGTGGAATTGCTTATGTAATTCTCCTTTG